CGCAGTCTATGAGAAAGTGACATACGTCTTCATCTATAACTGCAAATTCGCATTCGCGACTTTTAGCTCTGCCAATTCTGTGCAAAAAATGTTTTGTAGGTGCGGTGCCTAGCCTCAAACGGCGAATAAAAGTTTCCATACTTCTATATAATGCTAGCGTAACTTCGAATTCAATGAATGGATTGATGTGATATAAATCACAGCTCTTTGTACTTTGGTCAAAACAAGCAGTTTTTTTTATTCTGAAAGTTGTAGTTTTATAATACTATGCAATTCAGTTTCCGAAGTTGGTAAAGAAACAGTAACATCATTACGATCTGCTTGTCGTGCCGCTTCATCGGCAGCTGTGTTTCTAGGAATGTCGCAATGGCCAGGTATCCACGGAATTTTGATCTCATGTTGCGCCTTGCTTGCTTTGGTGAGCTTTTTCAGTGTTTCGTACGTCATACTTTCACTAATTACTGTCGTGTTTGTACTGGAGAGTGATGTTAATGCGGCCCATGAATCGCTGAAAAGTACTCCTTTTCGCGCGTCTGCTGCCGAGTTTCTCAACTTTATAGCATACAGAATAGCGAAAGCTCAGCTGTTGTAGATGACGTCATGCGACATAATTTAAGTGAATCCTAAATATTGAGCAATGGTATAATTAATGCTGATGTTGAATACGTTGTATTACTTGAGCCATTTCTGTAAACTTGCAGGTACCCTGGATAACGCATGTGTATCTGATAAAGTGCTAGTTGTAGAGCAGCATGGGTGAACATGTTTATCTTTCTGATTATGCCATCTACTGACAATTCAATTCTTAGTATTGCAAGCAGCCACGGAGGATAGTCAACTTCCGAGCTCCAAAATTCATTTCTTGGTAATGCACGTAGATTAATCCTTATTTTTTTCATGAGCATTGCTTTTATCTCTTCGTAAAATCTCCAGTGCCAATGGGATGTCTTTGTGTTGCTTCTGTAAGCGAAAAAAATGGCGGCATATTTTGATTGTTCTCATGACTGGAAAGAATGGTTGTCCAGTCTCTGCTATGACAAGGCTGCTGGAAGTCGCTCGTGGAACACCTAGGCAGGCGCGCAGTTTCCTAGCTAATACTCTGAAATCGCTCCTCTGAAGTGCAGGAAAGGCCGTGTAAGACTGTTGCAGAATATGGAATTTTTCTCATATTAAAGCATTGTAAACAGCGAGCATAGATGATACAGATCTGCCCCATGGTGTCCCAGCTATTCTGCGGTGTATATTCACTAGCATATTCACCTGGTTTACGAGTTTCTTTATGTAGGTGCCCATGATAGCTGCCTATCAAGTATTACTCCGAGAAACCGAAGCTGTGTCACAGTAACTAGTGGTTCTCCCTCCAAAGTGAGACTGATGTTTTTTTTTTTAACTTCTTACGGGTGAAGGGCAATACAGCTGTCTTTGCGTGTGACAGAACCATTCCTCTTTCTCTTCAAAAGCAGTTAATAATGTATATGCCGTCTTTCAATGCAATCTGATCTAGCCAAACGTCCATGCCAGACACCCAAATGCACACGTCATCTGCAAATCTATCTATCTATCTATCTATCTATCTATCTATCTATCTATCTATCTATCTATCTATCTATCTATCTATCTAGCCGCCTACGACTTTTAGCTCTCCTGGCCGTTTAGGTAATGGTATCAATACCAAAATTGGTGTGCCATAACATGACTGTATGACGAGCTTAAGTGATTATTCCTAACCTGAAAATCATGATATCTATGTCATGAATGTCATGATTTAAATTCACATGACGTTCCAAAACTGGCATGGTGTGACAAAGCTGCATGACGAACACAAGTGACAGACCCTAACATTGAAATTATGACACGCGTGTCATGTAACAACATGACTATATGCCACACTCATGATGCGCTGGCGGTCGTTTCGCTTGCTTCACATATACCATATTAGGTATTACGGGCCGTGAATAGATTACGAGGGTATGTGACTGGTACAAACTGATCATGAGATACGTGTCATGTAACAACATGGCTACATGCCACAATCATGATGCGTTCGCGGTTGTTTCGCTAGCTTCACATAAACCGAATCCGGTAATACGTCACGTCAATGGATAACGAAGGTATGTGGCTGGTGCAAACATGATAGCCATGATATGCGTGCCATGTAAGAACATGGCCACATACACGCTCATGATGTGCTCGCAGCCGTTTTGCTAGCTTTACATATAATAAATTTGCTATTACGTGACGTGAATAGACGACGAAGATAAATGACACGTCCAAACATGACAATAATTCATGCGTGTCACGTAAAACTTGACTACCGGCAATGCTCATAGTGTGTAATACCAAATTCTGTGTATGTGAAACAGCAAAATGACCGTGAGCACATCATGAGCATGGCATGTAGTCATGTTCCTACATGACACGCACATCATAATTATCATGTTTGCCCTAGTCATATACCTTCTTCACCCATTCACGTCATGTAACACCAAAGTTGGTATATGTGAAGCTAGTGAAATGACCAAAAGCGCACTATGAGCGTGGCATGTATAGTCACGTTCTTCCATGACCCGCATATGATGATTATTATGTTTGTATCAGTCATATACCTTCGTCATCTATTCATGTCATGTAACACCAAATTTGGTATATGTGAAGCTGGCGAAACGACAGCGAGTGCATCATGAGCGTAGCACTAAGTCATGTTCCTACGTGACACGCATATCATGATTATCATGTTTGCACCAGTCACATACCTTCATCATTTATTCACGTCAAGTAACACCAAATTCAATATATGTGAAGCTAGCGAAACGACTGCAAGCGCATCATGAGCGTAGCATGTAGTCGTGTTCTTAAATGACACTAATGTCGTGATTTCAACTTGAGAGAATGTCAGTTATTTTCGCCATACAGTCATGTCATACCATACCAATCTTCCCAATATGTCATGTGAACGAAACCACCGCAGGAGCAGCAAGTCCATGACGTGTAAATCATGACATTCAAGACATACATATCATAATTTTCAAGTTACAACTAGTCATTTATGCTCGTCATGCAATGATGTTATGCCATATCAATCTTGGTGTAGTAAGCTAAATGTCGAGGTTGGATGGATGGATGGATGGATGGATGGATGGATGGATGGATGGATGGATGGATGGATGGATGGATGGATGGATGGATGGATGGATGATGGATGGATGGATGGATGGATAGATGGATGGATGGATGGATGGATGGATGGATAGATGGATAGATAGATAGATAGATAGATAGATAGATAGATAGATAGATAGATAGATAGATAGATAGATAGATAGATAGATAGATAGATAGATAGATAGATAGATAGATAGATAGATAGATAGATAGATAGATAGATAGATAGATAGATAGATAGATAGATAGATAGATAGATAGATAGATAGATAGATAGATAGATAGATAGATAGATAGATAGATAGATAGATAGATAGATAGATAGATAGATAGATAGATAGATAGATAGATAGATAGATAGATAGATATACTGTCAAACTCGGCGAAGTTTGCTAAGAATCGCTTCGGATTGAAAAAAGTCCTGTCAACGAACCCATGATCTCTGGGTCCGCAGCGACAGATACCGTGTACGCTATCCACTGCGCTATGGTCATATACTTCGTACATTTAAGAAATACACTTGTTATATGAGGAAATACATGAGCGCACAAGGTAGCAGGAAAAGCACTTGACAGGAAAGACGCTCACTTACAACTGAATTTTTATTAGAAAACATTCATTGCACGAGAACACAAACGCACAGGCACAACCAACTATCACTTCAAGGTTCCACTCCCCTCTCCTCCCTCAAAAAAGGAGGTATACGTTTATCTACTTCAACAGCTCAAAAACCACACCTCTTTTTCACTTATTGCTACTGAAGGAACACTGATACATGTGCTTGCGTTCGCCCTAATCTGTTCTGCTTGCATGATTTCTCTGGTCAGTTTGCGTATTGATCTGCCCAGAATTCTCATGCTGCCAAACTGCGGATTGCACCCACAATCGCTGCAGTGCATTGACAAGTGCCTGCCACCTGCGAGAACCTTCTAGGACGTCACATGTTCTCGGAGTCACTCATTTAAACAGCGAGCCGTCTGGCCGAAGTACACTTTTCCGCAACTCAAGGGGATTATGTACACAACCCCTGAATTACACAGTACGAACAGAGTGGCATGTTTTTTGGTGCAGCCGCTCTTGTTCACCCTTCCACGATTTCCTATCATGGGGCACAGTTTTGCCAGTTTGCAGGGAGCCGTGACAACAACGCGTTCTCCGTGCTTGCGCCCAATCTTCATCAAGGAGTGCGAAATCTTGTGCATATAGGGCTAGGCTACAACCGTATTTGTTGGCCTCGTTTCCGCCGTGTTGGTGGTACTTAACCTGTTTAACTTCTTTAACGTGGTACTGCCTACTGCCACAAGGAAGCTGTCTGGGTAACCCGAACTGAGCAGGCATCTTACTTGGTTCTGGGCGCAAGCATGGAGTACGCGTTGTTCTCACGGCTCCCTGCAAACTGGCAAAACTGTGCCCCATGATAGGAAATCGTGGAAGGGTGAACAAGAGCGGTTGCACGCCCCGCCGCAGTGGTCTAGTGGCTAAGGTACTCGGCTCCTGACCCGCAGGTCGCGGGATTGAATCCCGGCTTCGGCGACTGGATTTCCGATGGAGGCGGAAATGTTGAAGGCCCGTGTGCTCAGATTTGGGTGCACGTTAAGGAACCCCAGGTGGTCGAAATTTCCGGAGCCCTCCACTATGGTGTCTCTCATAATCATATGGTGGTTTTGAGACGTTAAACCCCACATATCAATCAACAGCGGTTGCACCAAGAAACATGCCATGCTGTTCGTACTGTGTATTTCAGGGGTTGTGTACATAATCCCCTTGAGCTGCGGAAAAGTGTACATCGGCCAGACGGCTTGTTGTTTAAATGACCGACTCCGAGAACATGCGACGTCCTAGAAGGTTCTCGCAGGTGGCAGGCACTTGTCAATGCACTGCAGCGATTGTGGGTGCAATCCGCAGTTTGGCAGCATGAGAATTCTGGGCAAATCAATACGCAAACTGACCAGAGAAATCATGGAAGCAGAACAGATAGGGCGAACGCAAGCACGTGCATCAGTGTTCCTTCAGTAGCAATGAGTGAAAAAGAGGTGTCTTTTATGAGTTGTTGAAGTAGATAAATGTATACCTCCTTTATTGGGGCATGGGGGGTGGGGGTGAAACCTCTAAGTGATAGTTGGTTGCGCCTGCGCGTTTGTGTTCTCGTGCAATGAATGTTTTCTAATAAAAGTTAAGTTGTAAGTGGGCGTCTTCCTTGTCAAGTGCTTTTCCTGCTACCTTGTGCGCTCATATATTTCCACATTATGTTTTACCAACTGGCCCAGCATTCCACTTTATCGCTTTTTATATATTCCCCAGTTCTCTCAGCGTTTTCGGTAAGTGACAATAATGCATCATGACGTTTAGTTCCTTCAACGCGTCGTTTGCAAACGTCTGTTTCATTGAACGCGTTTCTAATAGGAGTATGCTAAATTTGTCAACGCCAAACACGCCCCCAGGTGGTGATCTTAGCACAAGCACCTGTGTTGCTCATAGCATTCGTCAATATCAAAAACACAGCTCTGCAACGCATAGAGCAATGCGCCTTGTTCGTACGAATGTGACTCCGCGTTCGCCGCTTACGGTCGCCTCACAAAAAAAAAAAAACGTGGCCGGCGAAAAGACAACACACAACGCGCATTGCGTTTGCCTGTGGACAGGCCATGGCAATCAATAGCTCCAACGTGCCGCGAAAAAGAAGCCTCGGCCCAGTTTGTTGAGTCCAATCAGTAAAGCTCTTCTGTCTGTGCCATCGCTGTCTCTGGCTCCACTCTCACCTATATGAACACATGGGTTTGTTTAATCAATATTGATAGATCTTAGTCGTGGGTATGGACATGTATGACTACGCGTTAACGTGGATGCATATCAAGCACCAATATATATTGGGTAAGCTCTCTTATATCAATGTACGGTAAGCATTCAACTGCTTCTATAAGGACACGTTTTCCTTTTGTGTTTTTACCTATCTCTATTACGGAAGAGTCAAACATGACTTTCTCTTCTTTTTTTTCTTCTGAACTGGACTTATCACTGTTTCTTTTCATTTTCTTTCAGTGTTCTCAATCCTATAAAGTATTAAAATAAATAACTAAATAAATAAATGTGTATATAAATAAATAAATGTACTTTTCTTTCTCCTATGGTCGCATGTGTACTTCATGGCACAGAAAGCTTTAGTCTGTCCGGCTCTTCGTTTTGGGGAGGCTTAATGCTACCAAAATGTAATTTGTGATGTACTCAAAAGGACCGTCAGAACTGGAAAATGCCATCCTGCTATGTTCAGAGTTATAATGTAGCTTTTATATGCTGACTCTGGTCTGTACTATTGCTATACGTGTTCATTTTCGTCTATACTCATTCAAAGCCTGAATAACTTGCGGAGGATACCAGGGCAGGCGAAAGCAGGATAAAAGCAATATTACAAATGTATTCGAGCTACATAATCATCCGAATTCACATTCAAGCTTTTATCCTGTACTGTTACGGGAATGCGAATATCCTAAAACTTCGAATAATGAACCCACTAGTGACGTATTCGATTCGGTACTCGAATTGAACTTATCTTGAATAATCAGCACCAACCGGAAGGCCCCAAAGCAACAGAACATTGGAACATTGAGGAGTCGTTTGTTTTGTTTTATTCATTGCGTAACGGGAATGCTTGGAGCGCTAGCTTTTGCGGGGCTGCCGGAGCCATATTGATCGCAGGATGAACACACGCTTGCTTAAAATATCAGTGTCATTGATGCAGAAGAGTCATCAATCCGCTATCATATTATGAGCTAGGTGATTTTGCCGGCCAGGCTAGCGTGGCCCATCGATCGAGACACATCAGAGCATTGTGTATCTGCTGCACTCAATTCTTTTTCTTCCTGTTTTCTATTTACTTTGGAAATAGGTCATTGCATAACGTTGTGTGTATTTTTACATCTGTTTCGGTTATTGTATTATGCATTACTGTGTTAATTCTTTCACTGTGCAGCAGCTGTATTGAATTAGTCAGTTCGTGTCTCCATCTTTTAATAAATGAAGATGAACAATAAAACTGCAATCATCTTCGGAAGACCATGCAATATTTATAAACGTCTGCATGAATAAATTCACACGCAGGTGTTTTGTCGCGTGTGCGCGCGTACGTGTGTGTGTGTGTGTGTGTGTGTGTGTGTGTGTGTGTGTGTGTGTGTGTGTGTGTGTGTGTGTGTGTGTGTGTGTGTGTGTCAGAAGACCATGCAATGTTTGTACACGTCTGCATGAATAAACACGTAAGTGTTTGTTGCGTGTGCGTCCGTACGTACGTACGTACGTGCGTGCGTGCGTGCGTGCGTGCGCGCGCGCGTGTGTGTGTGTGTGTGTGTGTGTGTGTGTGCGTGCGTGCGTGCGTGTGTGTGTATGTGTGTGTGTGTCAGAAGACCATGCAATGTTTGTACACGTCTGCATGAATAAACACGTGTTTTGTCGCGTGTGTGTGCGTGTGTGTGTGTGTTGTGTGTGTGTGTGAGAAGACCATGCAATGTTTGTACACGTCTGCATGAATAAACACGTGTTTTGTCGCGTGTGCATGTGTGTGTGTGTGTGTGTGTGTGTGTGTGTGTGTGTGTGTGTGTGTGTGTGTGTGTGTGTGTGTGTGTGTGTGTGTGTGTGTGTGTGTGTGTGTGTGTGTGTGTGTGTGTCTGTGTGTGTGTGTCTGTGTGTGTGTGTTAGGTTTGCCAGTTAAAAGTCGTCATAGAATGTTTCTTTCATAAACTTTGAGAATATGTGTTGTAAAGAAATATTGTGGATTTGTATAGCTTTTTTGAAAATGGTTACCTCACCATTCAAGAACTGTATATTCAAACAGTATTGTGATTCGTGTCAGATTCGGTTCTAAAATACACTGTTCGCACACCCCTGTTTATTTTCTTTGTGTATTCACAATAAATGCACTTGTACACAACCTGCTTTGACACAGCACTGCACATTCTTACTGAGACGAAGCAAGGAAAACTTCACATGAACTGGCCCCTGCTTTGCAATGTGGCAGCTTTTATTTTTTCGAATGTTACAGGTATTGCCTAAATCTCTAAATTGAAGGCCTTTTGCACTAAATGTATACATACAGCATTAATTTTTAACCTACTGTGCTTATTTTACCTTGGAGCTGCAATTCAAAGTATTTTATTGTTAAAATACACATGCATGTTATTGTGGCCGTAGAGTGGTAACTCAAATTTGAAGTAGTTTTACATAGAGCACCAGCCTTAGCACCTTGGATTCTGGTGCTTGGACGTTGAGAATGCTTCATTGCCTTTCGCGCAGTACTGACCTCTGGTTCATGCAATAGTACACGATAGGGTTGTACGTCGTATGGGCCATGGCAAGCCAGTACATCGCCAGGTAGACGTGTTGAATGCAGTCCGCGTAGGCGGCACCCGGGTGATGAAATAGGTAGATGAAGTAAGCGTGGTACGGAAGCCATGATACCGTGAACAATATGACCACAGTCAGCAACATCTTCACCACCTGCGCGCAAACGCAGAAATAAAAGCAATGGGCTCTTTCTCGTTTAAGGTTGGCCCTTATAACAACAAATGAAGCATTTAAAGCAGAACAAATTGCCCGTGACATGATTTCTTGTGAGATTTCGTATTTCCACTCCATTAAAGTTTGAATTCCCAATGCCCTTGGCAGCCATGCATTGAGGAAGTAATTGAGTTAATTCGTCTAATTATGTATTCCTTCTCTTTGCTTTGACTATTACTTATCAGGATAATTTTCTAATGACGGTGAAACGCAGAATTTATTTTCACTCTCCAAAGCACCTTCGTGCTTTAGAGAGTGCTGTTGTTTTATGGGCATCCAACTCAACTGCTGGACGACTTCGGCTGTACATGACTTCCCAGGCCCAGCTCAGTTGGCTCGGGCAAGACTCGGGCGAGCTCAAGAAATTTGAGCCTCATTTTCGAGCCTTAGCCGAGCTCATAATAGGTTCGGAAGGCTATATGATAATATAAATTTCTGCAGATCATAAAACCGTATCCCTACGAAAATCCTCGGCTAGTGGCTCCAGTCGATTTCATGCGAAATCGCGACAGAAGTGGTACTGCACAGTGGGATACACTGCACAAACTAGTGTTTAATATCGGCGCTCGGATAACAGTGACAAAGAGTACCAGTCGTCCACCACCATTATTATACTCTCGGCTGATTATCGCGATAATAGGGTACATGCCGTACGAATCAAGGTGACCTGCTTGAACCGTGCATTAGACACATGAGCGGAGGCGGAGAAAAGTGATTTCGAAGAGTGGCAAAGCTTCACGGAGTCAGAAAAAAAATTGTTAACCATCGGAAGTTATTTTTGCTGCATTGGCGTTGAATGCATTGAAAGGTATATGTACTGTGAAAGACTAGTCTGAAGACATTACGGTGTTGTTTTCATTTACTCAAAGTGTTATGTATTAGCCACAACAATAAATAACCGATGAAGTTCCAGTACAACCTAATAAATATATTTAATACCAGAATATGTGACGGGGTGGAAAGTTGTAACTAATTTTTCGCTGCCTTATAAGATTAGATATTTTTCGACAACAATTCATGATTTTTTCTTTTGCATTGCTTTGCGTTATATTGTGTGATAGTGATATAAAAAGCGATGGAAAATTTTCAATTTGTTGCTACAGTAAGTAACGCAGAAGGAAGTGTTAGAATATTAATTTTGAATCTGAACTGTCTGGTAGGCAATAGTACAACTTGATACTGGAGGGAGGATATGAACTCACTTTTTGCTGACTTGAGCTCTGAATATACCACGTTTTATCGCATAGTAAGTCAAACTAAGCAAGCTCGAAGTTTCAAGTACTCATAATATTTTGTAAATTCTTTAAATAAATGTAGAGGCTGTAGAGTTTTATACCATTGGTCAAAGAAGTACGGGGGGAGGGGAAGCTGTACCTTATGAAATTTTAAGTTACGAGTAAAATATATTTTTACAAGCTGCCCAACTCTCGTGTTTACAGCATAAAATGCATTGGTATTTATAGCACCATGCCTTATGTTTTTATGCCGGAACAATGACACGACTGATATAAACTTATGACCTTTCCTTGCAGAGCCATTATAATTTTAATAAATTCCATGATTCAGCTTTCCACTTAAAACACAAAGCAATTCTAAACTTATCGCATCTCATGGGCCTTCCCCAAGGAGCTTCAGCGCTCTAGGCGGGTATCTGCCCCTTAATGAAACACAACTTGGGTTTTATAAATTCGCTACAGAGCTGGGCAATATCAAGAATACATGCATCTGACATACTACTATCTTGGCTACTCTTTGATTATCTTGTATTTGTATGGCGATACGTCGCACAAGACGAGTATCTATATATGCATTTACACTACATTCGATAAGCTATGATGGATCTTGAGATACCAGATACTGCGGTCGCAACGCTATACCGTGCGAAACAACAATCGCTGACTGAGTTCCGCTTCTCAGGCTGGTACTGGTGCCACTAAGCCACCTGAATAAAACTAAGGGCCAAACATGATTTTGTTTTTTCACCAAACACCATGCTTCGCCGCCCTGGTCTAGTGGCTAAGGTACTCGGCTGTTGACCCACAGGTCGCGGGATCGCATCCCGGCTGTGGCGGCTGCATTTCCGATGGGGGTGGAAATGTAGGCCCGTGTGCTCAGATTTGGGTGCACGTTAAAAAACCCCAGGTGATCGAAATTTCCGGAGCCCTCCACTACGGCATCTCTCATAATCATATCATGGTTTTGGGACGTTAAACCCCACAAATCAATCAATCACCAGACACCACCAGTCAGGGAAGACTATGATGTGGGCACATTCCTTTCGGTGAAGTAGAGCAACACGACATAGCTCGCGCAGTCTCGACAGAAACTACGCTCGCGTGCTTGCCCACGTGCCTTTTGTTTACGAGATCTCTTCCCTTTTCAGTTTTGTCAGAGCCATGACACTCATCATTAGCCACATGCAAGCGTGGCGTATCACAATTCATGCGACGACCACAGCAGGAATTCTGAAGCCGCTCTCAAGCGTAGAACGATAGCAAAACCGGTACTGATACTAATAGAAAAAGCACTTACCCATCAGAGGATATCTTGGCGTACCATGCCGCTTTATTTCTACTATTTTTATTCAAAGAGGTTTTGAAAATATAATATGATTTTTTACTTTCTTTTTACTACTTTCTTTTTCTCTTAGCACTGTTTTCATAAACTTTTAGTATTTCTTTTTTGTGATGTTATACCTATATGCTTATTTCATATTTGTTGTGCATGATTGACTGCCTTTCCTGCTGCTTTGTCAACTTGTGAACGGGGTCAGGGCCTCGTCAAGCTCTTGAGCTTTTAGTCCTGTACTCCACCTTACCTAAAGGAAATAATATGATTTATTTATTTATTTATTTATTTATTTATTTATTTATTTATTTATTCTTAGCACAAGTGTTGTCCCAGTTTTTCTTCTCTTACATCAAGCACATCACATAGTGCTCTGAATTATTCTTTTAGTCTGGTGAATATGCATTAAACCTTTTGTAAAGTAAAGACAAAATGAACTGTGTGTATGACTCTTACCTATGATTGCTCTCTTTATTTTTCTTTCTACTACTTACGCATTTATATTCACTTTTGTTCACTCTTCTGCCAAGGTTGCCAGGCACTCGTAGCTATAGACAGCAGTAGCATGAATAACGGCGTTGGCTCACGATTATTTGTGCAATTATGCTGCCACACACTCTTCTTTACTTCTTATTTGTCATTTTGGCGTGATCGAGTCTAAGTCACAAGAAAGCATATGATCACTCGGCGCGAACCACGCGCAATCTTTCGTAAACTTCGAGATTGTCTCAGATTGTGCTGCTAATATTACGCGCAAATCCTGCTGTCATGGCCGCATGTCGATGGAGGTGAAATGCTGGAGGCGCGTGTACTTATATTTCATTGCACGTCAAATAACAACACATGGTCGAAATTTCCGGAGTCCCCCATTTGTGCGTTTCTCATAATCATATCATAGACTTGGAACGTAAAAACTCAATAGGTATTATTCAGATTACGCGCAGAGTACGCGTACTTTTTTTAACTCGCCAGCTTACACACGCACTATCGATAACGCTGGAAGGTGGGATCACTGCTGTATAAGTACAAGACGCGTTCTGCCGATTATTGGATTACCAAAGGGCGAGGACACTTATTGCCGTCATCAGAGTACAGCGCGCTTGACAAGTACTTTGGTTTACTTAGTTTTCTGGGAACGAGTTAGCTAAATAGTGAGTTTTATTTCTACCAGGATGACTGTCGCTTTCGTCATAGTCAACACCACATGACAATACAAAAGTTTCTGAGCGGCACATGTGCTCCCACTTGAGTGTTGTTGCTGGTGCATGCTGGTTATTTGGGATTGTAGAGGGCCTTTATTGGACGAGCTGAAACTGCACATCAGTATTCATGTCATCGTGTGAAGGCTTCTTTTTGAAGCTTGCGTGATTAGATAGCACTCCGCTAGCTAGTCGGCAAGCTAAGCAGCGACTCCTATGAAATACATAAATGACAAGCAAGAACCGCTGTCAGCAAAGCGTCTATGTAGTCGAACTGTTAAGCAGCTAAAACAAACCTCGTAAATTATTCTGTATTAAACTAATGCACTGTAGGACAAAACTTTCTTAAATTTCAACATAGCCCCGCCGCGGTGGTCTAGTGGCTAAGGTACTCGGCTGCTGACCCGCAGGTCGCGGGTTCGATTCCCGGCTGCGGCGGCTGCATTTCCGATGGAGGCGGAAATGTTGTAGGCCCGTGTACTCAGATTTGGGTGCACGTTAAAGAACCCCAGGTGGTCAAAATTTCCGGAGCCCTCCACTACGGCGTCTCTCATAATCAAATGGTGGTTTTGGGACGTTAAACCCCACAAATCAATCAATCAATCAACATACATGTCATTAAAATGAAATCGGGGACATTTCAGAAAATTTTCAGTCATCGCTTTTGTGCATTCGCGTTCGCTACTAGATTGTGAGGGCCTATAAAAACTGATTTGCGAATTAATCGAAGTATATTAAAATAAAACTCGTAAGTATCATATTGTATGCAGTTTTTACGACAGTATCTTGTATATGTATCTTCGAGTGCTTTTTGTCTGAGTATCTTGTATCGTATCGCGATACAATTTCAAGGTATCTTTTCCCAGTCCCGATTTGTTACAACGGCTAGTAACAACGTGTCGCGTATCAAGAAAAAGGCAAAAGTGCTTATCCTGTTTCTGTTTCACGATTTGTTTTCTTCATAGTTCGCTACGTCTTCGAACCACATAGCAATGATTGAGCCTTTGATTGATTTGATTGATTGATATGTGGGGTTTAACGTCCCGAAACCGCCATATGATTATGAGAGACGCCGTAGTGGAGCGCTCCGGAAATTTCGACCACCTGAGGTTCTTTAACGTGCACCCAAATCTGAGCACACGGGCCTACAACATTTCCGCCTCCATCGGAAAT